AGTGAACAGAGGAAGCATTTATGAAGAACTCAGGTGTGCATTCACTCAATTTTACAAGTAAATCACACTTGTTCATCATATCACAATGTTTGTACTTTGGATTTCACAATTCTTGGAGAAAATGAACCATTAGTAATTTGCACACAGACAGTGATTACAGAGAACACCAAAATTAAGGATTTATTGTTTTTTTTAAATTTGGAAACATCAAAAATGCAAATGTTAAAACTATTCACACCAAGGACCATGTTAATCAACTAGACTCTGTTTTGAAAATATCAGTAGCTTTTTGCCATTTAAAAAAATAATCCATTTTAATATTTTAGAAATAAATTCTATAGAATATATTATCTGAGTTAATTCTAGTTTTTTAGTATTTTACATCTAATGTTCTGCAGTCATTATAAAGTAGATGATAGAATTAATCTTTAGTCCCAGTGGGCAAGCATAATACTTCCAAACACTTCAGGATTAGTCATAGCATCCTCTTCTGACCCTGCTTCTGACTGCTTCAGGAAATTAAACAATTGGCACAATGAACATAAGTGTATACAACTCACGAGCTATAACAGGGGAGTTTCTTATTTAGCAAATGCCTTTTAAAACACTATCATGGGTGTCTCTTGCTTTAGGTCGGAGTAAGGACACCTGCTTTGCTGCAGGAGCAGCTTTGACAAGGAGTTTCAACTGAGAGAATTCAGTTGACCAAAGACACCACGCAGAGAATGACTGCCTGTTGCTGCCCAGAATGGTGTTGCAGGCAGACTACAGTCTTACTGCTCAAATGTTAAGCACTTGACAGGTAAATATTTTATATTCAACACAGCTTCTATTATAATGTCCTCTGTGCTTATTAATCCATCCATAGAAAAGAGAGCTTGCTTGTGCTGTGTTTCACCTCTGGTAAAATTTCTATTCACCTCTAAGCTGGATCTGCCTATATTGGGAAAGTGACTTAGTCTGCAGTACAAATAAAAACTTAGTTATTATGCCAAAAAAAAGGAAAAAGGCAGTATTTTGCCTGGCTTTTGCCAAGGCAAATTTTCTCAAATTCTGCTGATTACCTCTGGAAACCAGAGTACCGAGAATGGAAGTGACACAGCAAGACAAAGGCAAAGCCAACAGAGCCCAGGTCTCTCTGAGCCAAATAATCTCTATGCAGTATATAAAATTTCTGTCAAAGACTCAGAGGCATCTGAAACATTAAAAAACATAATGCATGTTCTGGTTGGCATACAAATGCATGTATTCAGTCTTGAACAAACTAGCTGTGTTTTGTGAAGATACTGTCTCAGTTTTACGGATGAGAATGCTGTGTGATCAGTTATGGCTCATTTTTCAGAACCGCTTAGTGTCATTGTTAACTATGTACCAGTCTATTACCTGGCTTCTTAGGAGTAATGATCAGTAGCCAGATATCTTAGGAAATAAAGCTGATACAGCTATTAGAGCAAATGTTTCCACAAATTACATACTCTGTTGATACAGAAGCAAATACTGCTGTTTATCATTTAGTAACCTAAGACTTTTAGCATGCAGAAACAAGCTTACCCAAAGTGGAAGGACTGATTTTCAACATTAATATTAACCAACTGGGAAATGGGACACACAGTATATTATTGTACACTATCCCAGAAACAACATGAAAACATTTTCCATGCCATAACTCATTTTTTCTTATATGAAAAGTACCTTTTTATTCTACAAAATACATGAAAGATTAATCCAGGGGTGGGAATCTTGACTCTCACCCTATGTCTACAGCCTGCTCTAGATACATTAGCGTGTGTATTTTGGTCAGGGCTGTTAAATTTCGTATTTTTCCTTCACTCTAGGCAAATTAAACATGCTTAGAAAAGGCCTTAGCTTCCTTATGTGCTGGTATGGAATAGTTTGGGGAACAGGTTTAGCCTATACTGAAAAAAAAAACGGTTTTCTGGGTTTTTTCCTCAGTGTGAGTTTCTGTTCAAAGGCTTGTGGTGTCACTAGTGTAGCCACTCAGAAAGCTCCATGAATTACAACAGACTTCACTTTGTAATTTGTTGCAAGAACTAAAACAAGAATGTGTTTACTTTGTATCCTCAGATCACAAACATCAGATGGGATCAAAAGAAAGGTGTTACTATCTAGCTACGTTATCACCAGGTAGGTAAGAATATTTTTTTCAACTTAAATCTTTACTATGCACGTTTTACTGTATGACTCCCAGGAATTGGCTACTTCAGGCAAAGGAATCTAGTGTAGCTCAAGTTCTTCATATGGTCACTGCCTTTTCTGCCCTAGGTATTACCAGCTACTGCTTGTTAACCTGTGCTGCAAGTGTTAAGAGAATTTAGCTTTATTCACCCCTGGTGCCCCAATGCCATGGAAGATAGATATCTAAGTACTAAGAAATTTATACAGATTGCTAATACTAAGGAGGCCAGGGGTCTGAAGATTGTGCCAATGGAAATACTGAATAACCATCATCTTAGTATTTTACAGCTAGCTGAGATGTATTTTATAAAGTTAATAATTTACTGTGCTTGCTAAGATTATTAAAGATTATTTTTCATGTGAAAGCACAGGGGCCAAGAAAATAATTTGTTATTGCTTAGTAGGGGGTGAATAATGAAACAATATTTCATTTAACTTTCCCCTGAGAGAGGTACCCTGGTAAAGCAGCCAACACACTCTGAGGTTAAAAAGCTGCTACTGATTCACAGCTACTGTCACAGCTAAAGGAGGGATTTGTGCTTTTGGTGCTGGTGTTGAGAGTGCCAGATTTAAGCCTGCTGTTAATACAACATGCCTGTGCACACAGAGACCTGATACAGCTGCCCATAGTATATCTTGGACAGAATAATATTACTCTTAGATGAAGAACTTTTTTTTCACGAATTAACGCGTTTCTCTTTGAAAAGAAGAATGGGTATTTGCTATGTGGAATTGGAGAAAATCCAAGTGCTTACCTGGCTATCCAGCCTTTAGAGAAAGAGACTAGTGTTCTGTGACTGAGAGGAACAGAGGCTTAAGGAACTGCTGAGCCAGATAACCAACACCACTGCACTTTCCCAGGAGATGGAATACATTGCAAGTGTGGAATCCAGTCCCTAGAGAACTAGGTCTTTTCAAGGCAGTTCATAGAAAACATGTAGGACTTCTTGTGGAAACAAGTAAATAAAAAACCCTTCCAGCTACTACATGGAGTAAAAATACTTTTGCTAATTTGGCATAAAAATGCTAAGATTTCATATAAAAACAATTAAGTCAGCTTACTTTTTTTTCAAAGCATATTTTAAATCTGGCAGTTTTTCTACTGGAATACTGTACATGATGTTTTAAAGAGCTTCTAAGCAGAAGAGTCACTGTTACAGAGCTAAAATTGACACTGTGTTTACATGCATACTGTTAACCATCTAGATCTAACACAGATAAAAACTTAGATGCTGATCCTTATTTTGCAAACAAGACAGGTCTACATTTCAACCCACGTGATGTATAATAAATAAAATTTCACTATTAGAGGAAAAAATAAATGTTTAAATAGATTTTGAAATCAAAATAAGGCAGTGCAGAATTACAGTGTAGAGAATAATCAGGCGCCTATATGTCCTTTTCTAGAAGAAAGCAAGGTAAGTTAATAAACTTAAGATTGAGAATACAGCAGGTACTTTAATTCCCATTTCACTTAAAAGCAAATGGAGTACAAAATAATGGATAACCATATGATGCATGTACTATTTTGCTTGCAAACTTTAGCATAAATTAATTGCTGAAGATACATTGCCTCACTGAATCTACCAATTCCTAATCAGACCAAATGACTTAAATTTGAGATTCAATCAGAAGTCCACAAAAAACAGCCTCGTATTTCATTAAAACTGCTGAATATTTAAGAATTCTAGACACTCTGGCATTTTTTCCATGCTTCATTTAAACTTAAAGCAGCAAGACTCTGCTTTTATCAATTACCTACTGACATAGTAATAAACTGGCTTGGGAAAACCATACAGCTTTTGTTACAATGAGAATTTTATGATCTTACATACACCTCAGAGTCTGAAGCTATGGCATTTCTCCAAAATAGTTCACAGTTCCCGCAGTTAATACAGTACTGCAAAATGGCACTAAAGTGCATAAGTATCTGAATGTTTGTTGGGCTAAAAAGGTGCTGTGCAATCTTAAGCTACTGCTTTGCCATTTATATACAAGATCATTTTTCTTTGGGGAGGGGATACTAGTTCTGGAATGCCACTGATTTTAATTTTAATGAAGGATTGTCTACCTTTCACCTTTCTAGAAGATTTAAGTGCCCCTTTTCTGACTCTTCTGTTTGTCAAGAACAGTAAAAGAGCAAATAGTACACTCATTCTAAAAAATGCATTTCAAGATAATTTACCAGAAATTGTATTTTCAAAACAAACTCCATGGTACTCCAGATGAGAAATGGACATGTTCTTTGTAACTAGGTATGGATCTGCTGCTCAGATGAACATGCTGTTCATTTTTTATCAAACATGAATACTAAACTACCATAAATAAAATACATACAGTACAGAACAATTAAAACTTTTTTGTACAGTAGTTCCTTTTACATTAAACTTACCATCTTTTCAGATATGTTGAAAATTAGGACTCTAAACATGATTATTTCAAAGTATCATTTTTAACAATCTTTCTTGCACAGGCCCGACAATCAAAAACATGAAGCTTTGATTCAGATAGCTTGGCAGGTTTCACATACTTACTTTGATAGGTAGGCTACTTTGAAATATGTTGGATGTGTTTTTACTTAGGCATTTCATTTTTATCAAAAGACAGTTTGATTATATTTATTGAAATCTTTACATGAGCTGTTTTTGTGCAATACCACTGCCAGTGTAGCTTGAGAAAATGAAAGGTGTCTGGAACATTGAGTACAGTCCAAATGTTGTCTATCTCTTAAAAAAGTAAGATTTTAGGAAATTCAATGTAAGTGCATTTGAATACAGGAAGTCAGTCCTAGAATATTTTCAATATTAAACAGGTACTGTTTCTACTACTGGTGGTTTGATGCACTCTTCGTGCAGTCTGCTCTTTTCTGGGAGGCTGAGTGAACTCTCTGCAGGGTGCTCATGTACACAACTGTCGCCATTCAAAGCTGAAACAAAGCCATCTTGAGAAGGACCTTTCAAGTATGAGTGAAATTCCACTTGAGGGTGAGTTGGCCTGTGCTCAGTGTATAAATTGTTACATGGAACACTGCTCTCACCTTCAGAAGATGAGCAGCAAACAATCACTGAGGGGTTTGCAGAAGGGTAATGAGGGCTGCTAAAGGATTCCTCTGATTGCCGTGTGTAGTCAACAAACTGTTCTGAAGTCATGTTGTAAGGCACCAGGGAAAGACTACTGTTCTTGACAGCTTCCCTTTCAGAGTAAGTCTCACTGATCTGGTTAGCAGTGCCAGCAACATGGTTCTCTATTTGGTAATACAGATTTGAAGAGTTAGTATAGTATGAGGCATTTTTAGAATGGTTTTCATGCACAGCTGTTCCATCAGAGTAGCAAAGGACAGAAGAAAGAGGCACCATATCAGCATGGGAGCCCATGCTGTCTACAAAATCATCTGCTTTTTCTTCCTCATCATCTTCCTCCTCATCATCCTCTTCCTCTTCATCATCATCTGATTCACTAGGGGCTAAACTCTGTGTGCTAGAATCTGTAACTCCACTACAGAAGCTACTCCCATCTTCCTCTTCCTCCTCTTCCCCTGGGCAGTCCAAGTCCTCAGCTGCCTGAGAATGCATAACCGCAGCTGGAGGTTCAGTCTCAATCTCAAAATTTTCTGCAATTGAATATTCAACCGGATGGGGCCCTGGACCCACAGAATTAGTGTGTGCACTTATCTCACTGTGGCAGCCATTTAGTGCCGGAACTTGCTGCTCTCTATTTTTCTCCAATTCAAGCTTCATTATTGTGTGCAAAAAGTGAGTCCGTACACGGATAGGATTAAATTCAATTCTACCTGCTGTATTGCTACACCCTTCTTTAGTACAACCGCATGGAAAAGACATACGATCCACCTTTTAAGAAAAAAGAATACAGATTAACAGTATGCAGCATAAGCCTCGGGACATGACAGAACCTAGACAGCCTAGAGAAATACAACAGTGAGGTGGGATTCACCTGGAGAAGTACTTGTAGGAACGGCTGAAGCTAACAGTAATTTAGCAGGTTAGCCCTGGAATTTAGTACTACTGATAGGAACAGTCAGGGAAATATAAACGCAACAACGCTGCAGAGAAGGAAAAAATATGTTTCTGTTCCAGACCTGAAAGCATTACACAATGCAACAAAAAAATGGATCTGCTACAGCTTTATTTCCTGTTGTCCTCAAATCGAGGCAAAAGCATTGCCAGAAAGAATCTTAAATTAAATTTGGTCACAGTCATGAAAAATAGAAACCTACTGAAACAAAATTTTTAGAAAGGTGCCAGTGGGGACACCAGACTACAGAAAGTAGGAATAAAAACTGAAGTACATCTTAAAAGAGATTCCAGTCAATTGTAGATAAAACATTGTCAGCCAACAAACTGTGGGCAGAACTTACATATCTAATAATAACCATCTTAAATTTATAAAAATGTGGCTGAAACCACCAGTTGGATAGTTCAGATAGCTTAAGGTCTGTGACTTTCATCTCCACTAAACATCAAACACAGTGCAGAGAACCACATAACACAATCCAGTGCATCTTCCCCACATGTTAACATGAAAACAGGAACAGCAAAGAGAAGGTATTATTTAAAAGAGCAGAACAAGTTTAGCTTGGATTTAAGAAATTACTTTAAAATGTATTCAGGAAAAAATCAACTCAGCTGCATAACAGCAATGCTGGGGAATTAGTTGATACATCTTTTAGGGAACATTTCTGGGGCATTTGCAGCAGTACATAGGACACTACATAAATAGACATTATGAAATGCCTCTTAAGGCTGCAGAGGAAAAACTTTCTGCTGTAGTAGCAGATGTGTTTTTAGTGCCTGCGTGCAAATTTATCATACATGTATTTTAAGTATATATGTTAAAAAAAGGATGGTACCACAGAGTTTCATTTATTACTTCTCATTTACTTTGGACTGTAATTCACATTTGGACAATATGTAAATTGTCTCTAAAATAAAATGCCCCTTCTGAAATGTGCAGCCTACTGATTCTCTTCTGTTGTCTGCATGTGCACAGATAAAGGCCAAAGAGGAAGATGAGGAGCAGAATCTCTGTATAAGAACAAAAAAAAACCCCTAAACAATGTGCCTGAACCAATAAAAAGGATAAACAGATGTTTAAGGAGACTGTATTGAACACTATACTCTCCATTTTGGGCCTTAAAACTGCTTTGAGATATGCAAGTATTATAATTTAATAATTGAATTCCAGTAGTTAGTTATAACTTTACAACACAAAGTACATGCATGTCACACCCCTTCCCCCCCTCCATCCCTCCCTTGATATTTAAGTACCAACAGTAATCTAGATATTTACCTGACATTTTATGCCTGCAAGACTGCAAGTGCAAGTTTCTGGATCACAGAAGACACGGCAGTCACAGCCACAATCCTCCCTGGACAGGCGGATGGCCCGAAGCTCGTGTTTTTCTTCCACATCAATCTTCTTCACTCCAGAAGCTCGCAGCAATGCCCTTCGCTTTTTTGTTGGCAGGGGTTGTAGAAAGAAATACTCATCTACTTCAGTGTTGTCTAGATCAATATCATCATCAGAAATGTCATCCAGTGTCAGGGTATTAGCTTCTTCAGATTCCACTGTACCATTCTTTGTCATCTGTTGTATAGAACAATTATCAAAGTCTTTATACACAAACACACACATACTTAAATAGGTGTCACAGATGTATGTATAATGCATTATGAATGTGGGAAACTAAGTAAAAACGCTGCAGGACTGCCAGGCAGTTCCAGAATAAAATTACAGATGGGGTGAAACGGCAGTTCTTCCACATTTAACATGTGAAGTAAATACACTTTTAGCTTTGTGTTTGTCTTGAAGCCATTTTTTTCCCACTAAGTTTCTAATTTCTTATCTGTTCTTTATGTCCTTGATCATTTGTTACTGCTTGCCAGATCTCAAGCCTTCCTAAAATTCTAGTCTTTTCTAGATTGTTCCATTAGATAATTTTTGAGCCTTTAATTGATTCTAGTTCCTATGGGCTTCAATATGCTTTCTACAATAGTAACTACATTTACCAGCACTGGTTCAGATTACTGTGCATCACGGATTTGGGAAATGGTGTCTTTGATGTACTATTTGCTGTCCTGCTCCTCTTCAGCCTGACAAGCTGGACGTTTGTACAGCTGAGGTCACTAAGCAGCACATCCACTTAATCGTTTGGGCAGATGCCTGTATTTGCTTTTTGAGTTGACAACTTTAAGCCTAGAAGTCACTTAGCTTTGCCTCTTTCTGCCTACATTACTTCATGTTTATTTGCAATGTAGTTCATCACACTCCAAAGTTCTTTCTAGGTCTCTTTGGTCCTGAAAATAACCCATTTAGCTTTGTCATGTCATAGATTTTAGTATTTCACTAACCAACCCAGATTATCCTTAGGCAGTTAATGAATTAATAAAATTAGATAAAAGGAAGTAAGTTGGAACCCCTTATGTAGGATCTTGAGAAAGGTTTTTAGGGGATTCATGCTCCTTTCCTAGAGATACCGATTTTTTTAGCTTCTGTAGGTAAAAGTATCCTGACATATATTATTACCTTTTGTAAAGTCTGGCTTTCAAACCTTCAAAATTAAACGGCCATGAGCATTAAGCACAAACATCCAGTGCCACTTTCACAGTACTGCACCCTTCTGTACCATACCTCTGTAACTCATCTCCTATAGAACAGAGTGTACATATTCAAGGAGAAAAGAAAAAAAATATTAACGGCACTGAAGGAAGGTTAATTTTTCCCATCCATAGTAGAACTCACTGGTAATACAACTACAGCGTTTATACAGAGAAAACAGCTTTAGAATCAAAAGAATATGAAAGGTTAAAGCAAAGTTCAGAGAGATGATACTACTATAAAAATATTTTTTCTCTATCTCAGGTTACCTGGATTGAGAACTGTACTACATAGCAAATATGAGGCAAGTACAGGTATACAATTTATATAAAACTTTTTCATAATTTCACATAATAAATTTTTATTTTATTGTTTTTCTATGAAAAAAGTTTGCTTGAAATGGAAAAAACAAACAGATTTCAAGTGTTCACCCTGGTCTCTGTAATGTTCTTAATCGATGAGGGTGCCGATGTACAACCACTGAACAGCTGGTCTCCTGCTTTTGTGAAAAAAACACAGTGCAACTATGTGCTCATTACATACTGGTGAAATCTCAAGATTGGTTTGCACTAACAGTTCCATCATGGGCATCATGATGATCTCAGAAACATGACCCCCATTGAATGTAATTTGAATGATAATAGAAAAATAGCCGTTCAGATTCTCTCCGTTTTGCCTTATTTACTTGCAGAAAATTTCAGCTTGGCCTGTTACCCCAAATAAATCATGAGACACCAGTTTTAAATACAGGTTAAAAACTGGAGTCCTAACTCCTGTTGCCTGCTTGTTGTGCTTTTCAATGTTTAGACATTTGAAAATAATCAATGTAAAGGTAACTTCTTGTTTTTCTGCTGCTAAATCCTGTCATATCCGTTTATATTATATTTGTATTAACAGTTTGGCCTTTCCACAATCTGTCATTTATGGCATTACTGAGTTACTGGACGTGAACTCCTACGTATTGCTTACTCTTTTTTGCAGCTGCAGTTTTTAACAACTGAGTAAGACAATCACAGGAAAACAACCCCTTACTATTTCTGACTTGTAAAGTCAGGTTAAAAGCAATACTCTGCCGTTCAAAGGAGAGGAGTCTCAGTGTCATGACTGGTAGTCCTTACATACAGTGTGCATGTACGCATTGTCTCTCCTGAGACCAGTAATCTCCCCAGCAATTCAGCACTGGGCTTAGTCCATTCAGAGGTGTTCTGCCACTTCCACAATTCCACTTTATAGGCATTATTGTTGCTTCCTTCTCTTTTCAATGCATTCTCTATCTTTCTCTGTAACTGCAATGCCTTAACTTTGTTTCATGTTTTAGTTTACTTACCAGTCTGTTATCCCTGTAACATTCAAGTCCCTGTATGTGCATCTACTTCTAGCTCTTCCTTCATCTGATATGCAGCCATTTTCAAAACGTCCTCTCAAACTTCCTTCAGATGGTTTTCTTACTCTGTTCTCTATTACTTCACTTTACCATGGCTAGGAAAAGATCTCCCTAATAAGTTCTGCCTGACTCTGGGACAATGGAGAGACTATTTACACCAGATATTTCAATGTTTATAGTTCAGTAACATTAGAAGTCATCCTTTTTCTCTGTAATCTACAGTGAGAGTGAGAGACAGGTGAATCCAGGGAGTAATTAAAATGCATCCTGAATTAGTTGTCTGAAGCCAGTAGGAAGGAATACTTCACTGTACAAGCAACTGATCCTGAATGTTCAAATCCAGAATGGCATCCTTTAATTTTTGTGTGCCTTTGTTAGCTAGGTACAACTAAGTTCAGAGTGCTTATATTTCTTTGCTTGTTGCCTTCTTTTTTTTTTTTAATGTAACAGGAGGATGACCTACCAAGAACTCTGTTTTCTAGTTTTAAATACACAAAGCTCAAACCACTCCCTAAGCAGATCACTGTTATTTAATTGCCTATCAGTATTTAAGTTTGAGACTGGGGAAGGGAAATAATTCTAATATTTGCTTCTGTAATTATTTTAGTATTTTATTCAATTATTATTTAATAAAAATTAAGTTTCAGGGCTATCACCCATGAGGTGAATACTGTAACTACTGAGCTTACAAAGGCACCTATAGAACCATACCAAACCCACTGTGTATTTCATCTCCTCCTCCTGCAAATCTTGCCACACAGTGGGAGAGCATTAAGGCACGGGCTCCATCAGGTGCTGAATACTGTGTGCAGGCAGGAAGGCAAACACCTGAGCACCAAGAGGGATTAGACATCAGCCTGCCATTTCAAAGCACCTTGGCTCCTGACTCATTTGCTGGATGATTTCCTTGCTGTCGCCTCTGAATTTTTCTCAATTTCATCACACGAAGAAGAAACGGATTATTGAAATGAAAGATCTGAACATTTCTCAAACAAGTAACTGGTAACTACAGAGGGAGGAATATTACCATGAACCATCAAACACATTTTCCAATAGAGAATTTCAGGGGAACATTAAGTTCTCCTGATTGTCATAATATTGCTCATCTGAATTAAACTTTGTATATAAATGGATAAAATTTCTCTTATAAAGCTAAAAGTTAATGTCATAAGAAGAGAATAAAGCAAGGGACAAGGAATATGCGAAGCCTTTGGTTGAAATTCACTTTAGCTCTTTAAAGTGTGAAAAATTGTTAGACACCTTTGCCTGTCTTAGCTGGAAATTATTCTTTAAAATTTCCCACAAAGGAAACTGTCCACAGACCCAGGAGCCTGAACGTCAACTAGGGTCGTGCTAATCATTTTAATAGATCTTAATTTGAGGGGGCATTATGAGTAAGCAATAAGGACCATTCCAGCTAATTTACTGTACTTACTCATAATGTTTTCTCAACAACATATTAAAGCCTATCTTGTACTCTCCATCTTGAAAGGATAGCTTTTATGTCCAGATTGCCATTAGAATTTTCACACTGCTGCTAGCAGGTGTTTATGCCACTGTCAGCATTGTTTACACCTAAGTAGTGGTGTTAAAGGGCTGAACTGACGAGGATGACTTTGAAGTCTTTATCTGCTTTTAATTAAGAGAAATTTCTTATTTGGCTCTTCACTTTCAGCAAATAAAATAATAAACATTACCTAATATTACAGAGACTAAATTCCAGTACATTCCTATATTTATTTATTTTAATCAAGTCTACATAAGAGAACGCTTTCTACCTACAGACTTACATATTTTAACCCAATGCAAAAATTGAAAAACAGGGAAACTGGAATTTCAAAGCATAATGAAAATGTGGCTATCGCTAGCTCTCTCTAGTGGTAAGTCCCTAATACTCTCAACTTTGGTTTCTAACCTGTCCAAATGTCTGCTTTTAATTTGCTTTTATCCTGAGTGGCTTTATGTTTGTTTTCATTACAACAGTTCAAATTTTACAAACACTTCACTATTGAAGTAAAAAACAATTAGGATACTTTAAAAAGTAACTTTTTTTAAACTAAGGGTCATATACACTTCTTTAGGAGTTCAGATACAGAACTCTAGAACATAGTTCATTCATTCTATGGGAAAATCCTGAAAGGCATTTCTTAAACTTGGAAGGTGCCAGTTTGCTCTGGACAACTCATAGTATTGTATGGAACTGAGGTATATTATCACAAAGGAAAGGGTATAGAGCAAACCGTTTGGTTACAATTCTAAGTATTATTCACTTTTCATTAAAAGATTCCTCTGAAAAAGAGCCCCAAATATATGTAACACAAGCCATTACCCAGGAAGTGTTTAGTCCGCTACAAAAACATAAAAGTTTTAAAGCGGGACACTTTCAAGAACAGTTTCTTTCCTCTCCTATGCTATATTTAAAAAGACAGCTTCAAAACTGTAGCTAGTATTTGTTCTGACTAGCTAAACGGATATAGTCAGCTAATTTGTCTGATGTGTTTCTTCTTTAACACAGACATCCATTGGTGAAATACTTAAAGACACACAATCAGATAAATTGATGCACTGAGAAAAACCCAACATTTTTAGTATTACCGTTTTGTACATTTTGCCAAATTTCCTCAAGCTGAAGAAAACAAGCTGTTTCACTTTCTGTACTCAGGATGTTGCCATTCTCTTGTCTAATGGGGTACTGTGCAAGGGCTCATAAGAGTAATTCTCTTCCTGGCGCTTCAGGCATCTGCTGGACACCCTGCTGTTCAAGGCTAACTTACACAACTCTGCTTTCTTTTTCCCCTCTGTAGAAGAGGGAGGAAACAACAACAACCTCCCTAATAAAGCCTTCTGAGGTACACATCAATAAGAGCTACAGCAGCGCTTGGTAATATTGAACAAAAATAGGTCTTCAGTTAGAAAAACACAAAACTAAACAAAAAAGAGACGTGGCATTGTTTCAATTGAAAATGGAGTTGACAGAAAGGAAATGGGTTTTTTAACACACATTGGGCCCATATAGCTCTGACACTGCTCATTTAAATAAATAAGGCAGGCAGGGATCAAAGTCTTGAAAAATTCTTACCTTTAATTTCAGAGAATTAAGTTTTTCCTCCCTTAGATGCTCTCTTAACATCTCTCGGTGAAGCCTCTCCTGTTCCATTGCAAACTCTCCCAGTGTGTACTGGCGCACACTGTTGTGGCGAGTAGACATTCCCAGTGTGCTCCCCCCTTGGCTAGGAACACTGGTGAAGCCTTGCCTTCTTGTGAAGTAATACACAGTAACACAGTTGAAATGGACATTTTTTGTTCTCTTCCGCTTCTCTCTCTTCAGGATTGAAGAAGCTAGAACAGATGCACATTGCAGTATGAATGGTAAGTTACAGTAACAGAGCAAATTCACTTGTGCAGTAGTTCCATTTACCTCGACAATACCTATGTACACACCAAAGTTCAGAGATGTGCAGTCTAAATTCGGATATGGCATTAGAAATATTTACCATATATACAAATGGCTACAATGATGAATGCTATTGTCTATTTCCGAGGAGGAATTCTTGGCCAGGATAGTTGTGTTTTCCCATAACATTATAAAAATGTTTTAAGCCTTTTAGCAAGGAAGGAAATAAATCCCAGGAAAAGGAACTTATTTCACAATGTCACCTCAAAGAAAGTGCTCCACTTGACTTGCTCCTCTTCAGAAACCTGTGAAGAAAACAATGTTGCATATGGCAGCACTGAGGAGAACAACAGACCCAGGTCTCACAGGTCTATATACACTGTTGCTCTTCTGTCAGCAAGGCTCAGCTGTACAGATCTATCACTACATCTTTAAAGCACTGGATCACATTGGCAGAGAACATTCCTGTCTTCTAATCTAAAAAGTGAGAAATTATTGTAAAAAAACTATGAAGGCAATATGTTTAGTGATCCAGACTGTCTCAGAAATCCTCACAGAATAATATAGGAGTAATGGTGATTAACAATCAGCACCACTTCCTTTTTCTTTACTTTCATCCTTTTTTCAGCTGCCATCCACTGTACACACCCCTGTGTATGTGTATACTTGTATTCTAATGTGTAGAATTTTGCCAAAAATTAAATTTAGTATTTTCTACCGATTTTCTGATTCCCCTCACACTCATGCTCAGTTTTTCTTATACACATATGCATGATCATGACAGGGATTTGTTTAAAAAAAAAAAAGTCAAATTTTAACCATTAAATATTGTTCTTTTTTTCCATAGGCATTAATAACTCTCTCAAACAACACTGATCTGTTGTTTCTCACTGTTAACAGTGGGGAGTCTTTAGAGAAAAAAAAGACACAAAAACATTAGAGAAAGATGAGAGACACTCCTTGATTTTTAAGATGAGCAAGCTGACTTACTTGATTTATTGCAAAATGACAATAGGATGTTGAGAATGTAGGTAATCTTTACTTTGCAGCTTACAGGCAACAACTGGACAGATATCAATGAGAAACCTGTCAGAATTCAGGCAGTAAAATTATTTAAAAGGTGCCTGACCCCTCTTGAAAGACTTGGAATCATTCTACTGAAGCAGTGAGAACATGATGTCCCGTGGTAATCTAAAATTGCACCATATCTAGAGATTGAAGTACAGTATTGACAGTATTGTCACAGTTAAAACATAGTTCATTCTCTAATACTATTACGTAGTGAAATGTTCATCACCACAAATATAAAAACCCCAAACTCTTACATTAAGTAATGCAGTCCAAAAACTAGCATAGACTTCCTAACTTTATGAAAAAAAATGTATTAGAAAAGTCCAAATTTAGAACATCAATTTCACACTCTGCCATATGTTTATGCCTAAAAGTTGGGTCAACAGTCTCTCTTTGTAAGTGTAGTCACCATGAGCTGTCTTATAAAGCCCATTAATGTATTTTCTCAACCTTTTAATAGTTCTTAGCACTTTTAGCAATTAAATTTTCAATTGCACACCATCAAAGTTGCTTGTTTGCGTATTTTTTTTTATATATTGTTGACAAAAACTAAAATAGAATTAAGCTGAGCTTCAAGACAATGCTGGCACGTTGTAACCTCATCATCACCAGCACTATGAATCCAGCACTGCACGACTGTATTGAAGAAAGCCTGAGAGCTGACATGCATTCATGGTAAATGACACTGAGGTTCATGGTTGTATTTACTAACAGTACAGTCTCTAGTCAGAGAAATTATATGATCATCTGTGTAGGCAAACAGCCACATAAACATTCAGAGCCCTTGGACTACACAATTATTTTTTTTTCTGAAGCACATCCTATCTTTTTGGTTTGCTCTTTTCACACCCCAGAGATTATTAAAGGGAAAAGCTAAGGCTGTGAATAAGGCTAAAAAAACCCTAAGGCTCTGTAGTCATCTCTTCTGTTGTACTGCTAGGAAGCAGTCAGAATATATTCATATTTATGATAATGTTGTTCCCAAGAACAGATCAGGCAGGAACTGCAAAAGATTACAGGATTTTATTTGGTCACCCGAAAGCACAGATTAGAGATGACAGTGAGGGGACTGGAGAATTGTGACCACCTCAGTAACCAAGGACACAAAAGGAAGCACACTCAGCACAGCAAAAGCACTATGTTCTTGCTCTACTATAATTCCTAAAACCTCTCAGCAGAGGGCTTCCTTAATGTGACCTAAAAAAAAAAAGTATTATTACATATTGGATGGAAATGTTGAACCTTTTCCAAAATCAAGGACAAAGTGTTCTATAATTCATTCAGTCCCTTTTGCTTCAAACCTACAACTCAGACTGTCAGATCATCATAGCAAGAGTCAGGGGCATATGTAACTTTGCATGCACTGTACCTTTAATGGGATTTACCAGTCAGTTGTAATTACTACTAATGACACTGCTTAACTCAAGACAGAGCAAAAAGACATACAAATGATGTATTTTCTGATATATCAGAAAGCATTAACATTTGTCCATATGTTTGGCCAGGCACTAAGAAGTATTTACATGCCACTTGCCTGTGCAACAAGTGGTATCAGTGGATGCCACTATCATCTGTTCTGTGCAAAAAGGATAAAACTGACTCCAGGCAGAGTCTGCTAGGCAGAGATGTGTTGTTGTAGCATCTGCTACAACAGTTTATACTGTCAATAGAAACTAGAAGGTGTTTTTTGAAAATGAACACCACCAACTTGGGTCTAGCACTTAATGGCAAGTGAGGATGCCAGAGAGGGAATAGGAATATTCATCATCACCTAAAACTGTCTGTCCTATGGATCACATGTGATCCTTAACACATTTATATACTGCAAGCCTGATATATTCCACAGAAGGAAAAAATGCCCCATTCTCATGTATTTAAGTAATTAATGAAACTTTTTGTTCCATGTTTCAAGATGACATGGAATTAAATATTTTTGACCGATACGTAAGTACTGTAATGCATAAAATATATCTATTATCAGAGGGAAGGATGATACTGTTAAGAACACAATTACTGCTACACAACTAGTCTCTCAGAAAAGGTCAGTATATTTGAACAAGGTCTTCAGACACAGGTATCTTCAACCAGGACTCAGAATTCCTCATTGGAAATAATATCAACTGCTGAAATTTTGATTTTTGGCATTTAATGTTTGAGTGGCTCAGCTTCTGAGTTTAGCAGAGCAAAGCCCAAGTTAATAACCTTCCTGCAACTGCCCAGCCTCCTCATGGAGTTAAGTCAGGTTCTGTAGTGTTACCAGCTCCCCACCAGCTGCTGCAGATCCAGAGTGGGGTCTGGGCACAGCACAGCCCCATCATGCAGCACTTGACCTGCACTAGCAGCCACAGCACAGCTCATCTGCACCACAGATCCCATATGGATAAACTAGCAATTTGCTGTAAACAGCATTTCTAAAGGTGAGGCCAAAAGAACTGAAGGAAAGCTTTTAATAGCAAACAACTGTTTAACCCAAGCATGGTGAACACATCCTGGAAGCACAACCTGCTCCTTGTGCTTACTCTTCTGCTACCTTTGCTCAGAATGTGCCTGCACGCCCACACACAGTTGGATGCATTTATTCATAACGTTTCTCAGTTACCCTCTCATTAATGTCTCTCTGATAACAATTCTCTTTATCCACAACAGTTACAATTTGTTTCATGACTACATATGATATTTCTGCCATTTCTCTTTATGCACAAGTCCTGGTTTATGCACTTCTCTGGCTATTGAACACAGAGGGAATCTGCAGTTTCCAAAATGTAAAAACACCTGGATGGTGAGCCAGAAACCCACAGGCTGGCACATTGCCTAAACTTTAGACCTTACTTTTTTTAATATAGCCCTTCAGTTTTCAGTATTTCAGCAAGGTCATTTGTCAGTCATCAACTGTAGTACAAAATAGAGATAACAGTTCAGCAGTCATTCAAGAAAGTGAGATTTCAGCTGCACACATGAAACATGTCAAACTTTTCCTCTAAATCAAGACAACCTTTCCAGCACAACTCCACCTCCCCACACCACCAAACCTCCAAATTACACAGCTGAGGACCATATCCTACACTGGGACACTAAGTTGTAACTTTTATTACCATAACTTTTATTAAAATGGTTGCTGTCCTCAAACCAGGACAGTCATAATTTTAAAAGGTATCATATAATATCATAACAAAAAGTGCAATTTTTATCACCCAGTGGCTGGCAGTAGTGGCATACAAGATGGTTTATGAATTCTTTTCCAGATCCTGAGATTACTTTTTTAACCTTTTATGTACCTGATCACGTGTACTAAGTGGATTTTTCCAGACACAGTGTGTCCTGCGTATCTGCGTGAAACGAGGCCCCACTAATTCATTCTTCAAAGATACTCTGTCAGCTTTAAATTCAAAACTGAAGAACATATCAGTGTAAATAGAGAGAAAAAAAAAAAAACCCAAACCAAAAACCAGGTCTCATGAAAATAACAATAGCCTTAAAAATAAATAATAGCCTTAAAAAAACATAGCAAGTCAGGAAGTACTTTCTGGGTTCAGAAGAAGACTCTTCAATGAAAAAGGTAAGAAAAATAAGAGGCATTGAAGTCATGTGAAGTTAGAGAATAAAGAAGGGCCTTTGTTCATCAACAGTTAACAAAAGAATGAAGCAATTTATATAGCAGAGAGGTTTAAACATGTCTAGAGGAATATGCAACTACAAAAAGGTGAAGAAAGATGCAGCAATACACAGATTTGTAACAAATCAGTCTCAACACTTTCATAATATGTTTTCATTTAACTAGAACACTACAGTTGGATACTGTCTCCTTAGTGTTGTAGTTATTTGGAAGAAACCACCTAGTCCTGCTGCTAAGTTAGTTTCAAATAATGGTTGCCAG